TCAGGAGGCGCTACTTCACGGTCAGGGCAGCTAGGATCTGGAACCAATTTCCAAGAGAAGTGGTGCTGGCTCCTACCTGGGGTCTTTAAGAGGAGGTTAGATGAACACCTTGCTGGGGTCGTTTGACCCGAGTACTCTTTCCTGCCATGGCAGGGGGTCGGACTAGATGATCTTCTCAGGTCCCTTCCGACCCTAGAAACTATGAAACTACATACAGTTCTCTCCCCTTCTCTGCAGCTATTAAATCTGCAGGCAAGAAATTTACCAGCTAGGAAAAAAAGTTGAGAAAAAACTTATGAGCGTATGGTCTATACACTACTTCTATGCTCTGACAGCAAATCAAAGGAACTACGTACATCTTATCCAATGTGGCAACAGAGCTCTGAGGGAGGGAAGTGATAAAAGGCAATGTAGTGATGATTCTCAACCAGGGTGCTGTGGCACCCTGGGGTGCTGCCAGAACCTCTAAGGATGTCAGGAGGTAGGAAGAAATAAGTAAGGTAGCAGATAAGCACAGGCTCAGGCTTGTTCCTGCCTAGTGGATCCCCCACTCCCACTGCCCAGCCCCTCTGTAAGGAGGTAAGCACTAAAATATATAAATTAATTTTTGAAACTGGGTGCCACTCAATTCACAGAAGTTATGGAGGGGGTCTCAAGCCCAAAAAAGACTGAGAACCCCTGCAATATAAGATAGGAAACCAAAGAGCTGCAAAACAGTTATGTTCCCCAGCCTCACTCCAGAAGGACTGGTTATCTCTAATCTAGAATTATCCTGCATCTGTATTTGTGAATGGGACCCAGCAGCTGAAGCACAAAACAAAAAGAGAGCAGATTAAGCATCTTCTTCCCCCTAAGGGGTGCAGGGGAGGGGGAAAGGATGACTCCGTATGTCTTTGCAGAATCCCATACCACTTCCTTTCACTTGAAACCTACAAAGTAGATACTATTCTGAGGTCAAGGAGAAAGAAATGAGGCTCTTTTTAGAGCCTACCAGCAGTGCTCCTGACATCAGGAGGAGGGGTAGCTGCCAAGTTATACATAGTATTCTCATTTCCGCTTTCCTTCTGGGGGTCAAGTGTACACCACTCAGCTTTGCCATACAGCTCTTAAAACACTACTTTGCAAAAGTTCTGAAAGAAAGAAAATCCATTTACCTTTTCTTGATAAAGTTTATGAAGCCAGTTTGCAGCTGCCTTTTCATCTTGAGGGATATCTTCAAGAGGAAATCTCCTGGTTTATTAAAGAGATTTAAAAAAAGGAGTCTTAAAAGAAAACCTAGGTATCTATCTTAGTATAGAGCTGTTCAGGCGAAATGTTGCCATTCAATACACAGCACAAACTGAAACTGGAGTTTGTTTAAATATAGATAAGAACTGCATGTTAAAATTTCTGTCTCTGCCTTAAAATTCATGTTCCTAAAAAGAAAGAAAGTACTTGTACATTTTGCTATCAATTTCAAGGCACCTCAGTGAAACAAATATTACACACACTTACCCTACCCATAGTTGAATCCTAGTAAACTCTAGGGCTGGTTGCAGACGTGAAAACAAATAAACTGTGCTTTATCACAAAAAGCAGCATGTAACTTGAACCCAGTTCCACTGTGTCTGTATAGACTGGGTGCTTCAGCATGGCTTTTTGATGCTTTTATCTAATAGCTGATTCAATCAGGTACTGGAGAAAAGGACCAAAAAAGCCCCACTAAAGTGCCGGATCTATACAGACTTTGGGCGAGCTGGGTCCAACTAATGTGCTGCCTCTTCTGGGCGTGCACTGGGCTCGATGCAGGAACATGTTGAGTTTTAAATAAAATGCCATTTTTGTTGCTTTTTTTTTTT